CCCAAAAAAAAAATGTCGACAGAAGCCATAACTGCTCTAATCCTGGCTCATCAGGTTAGGATCTGATACAGTGCCTGCATGCTTTGGTCTTAATCCTGTTACACAATACAGAAAATGTGCGCTATGGAGCTGTAATCTTGGTATTTTAACTCCAAGCTGCCTGCCTCGCCTCACCTTGGTAACTGGGCATGTTTTCTGACCCACATGTTGGGGTTAACCCTGTTTGATTTTTTTTCTTTCCTCCTGCTAAAGCTGCGTGAATAGATCCACCCTGATGAGCTGGTATAACATAGAGGCTCCATAATTAAGGTAGCCGAGTCTATCGCTGTGTAATTACACAGTGCCGAGTGCCATAATACCTTGTTTTGAAAACACACAGTCTGTGGTGCGCTCAACCTAATAAATCTATGTATTTCAACCCAGCAGGCAACAAAAGTCAGTGTTCACTGTGTGTATTTTGTCTGTGTACCCTGAGCTGCCCAGACCCTGTAGTCATGATGGCCCTCTGCAGAGACCGTAGCGTGAGTAATGTGTTTCAAACAGATGCACAGAGGCCAAACACAAATAGCTGGTCATACTGCAGAAGGACAATATTTTGTAGTTATTCATCTATTAGCTGCTGATTTGACTACAGAGGCTTTCATTTCAAAATAAACAGTTTCTGGATCTTATTGTTTATGTTTATAACCCATCTGCCAGAACCCACAGCATCCTCACTCAGACTGCTGGTGTTCGTGATGAGATTGTAGAAGTAAAAGCGGTGTGACAGAGAACCACTACTGAAACTCCAAATGTGTCCAATGATGATGTCTTTCAGTTCTTGTTTCGGACTGAGTTACAATGGCGCTCTAACGCACTATTGTAACGCTTTGTAACTCTAACACTTTGATATTATGGAAATTTGATTGAAGGGAACAGGGTATTTCGTGTTTTGTGTATCCACACAGGGGACTGCACTGTGTGTGTTGCAGATACAGTACTGACCATTGCAAGGATGAAGGAAAGAAAAGAAAAATCTGCCTATGTTGAGTTTTCTATTGAAGAAAAGTGAGCAGCAGGGACACAGAGAGAGAAAAGGCGAGTGGCATTGGTGTGCCTGAAAGCAGCAATCTCAAAGGCGGAAAATGTAGAAATCTATTTAAAGGCGGGGGGGTGGATTCTGTCAAGCTGCGCCTTAGTGTGCATGTGTGTGCGTGCCTTCCTGCGTTCAGTGTGTCAAATCATGTAGACCCCAGGGTGGCATGGCTGGGTCAGGGAGCTGGCATACAATGAAGGGGACGTCCCACAGTTGCTGCCAGTTTCCGACACCAGTCTAAATCAGGAATGGTAAGCGAGAGAAGTTGACATTGCTTGCAAACAAGTCAGCCTTGTTGTCAAGGTGCATGTGGGTGTGGGTGTTTTTTGTTTGGTTGTAGATGAATGTGAATCCTTGGTTTGATTTCTTTATATTAATCCCAGAGTGTAGATGAAATGCATGCAAACACGCACAATCTTGACTTCGCCAGTGACTGAATGAGCCTGTAGCCCTGTGGACAAAATCCAGGAATTTGTTTGTTTGTTTCAGTGTTCGCTGACCCACTTCTGCTTGGATGTTCATTCTTATACAACCTGAATGTGTGAATGTGCTTTTAAAACAGCAACGATGAACAGAAATAAATGGAATGTTTCTGAGGTTAAAGGCAAAATAGTCACATAATTTATCAGCTTTGGCCTGAGAAGACTTTGAGTTGTTATTTGACCTGTTTCTCTTCATATGACTGATATCTCACAGCAAATAATGAGTTAAATTTCACTGATTCTTTTTTCCCCTTAAATTCTGTTACAAAAGCCTCAGCATCCAAAATGCTTGTCTTTAGACTTGTCCATGCTGATTCTATCTTTGGAAGCGTCCTGCCTAATTTTCTACTGTTTAAAACATAAACATAAAATGAAGATATCATTTTATAGCGTCAGATGTATTGTAAAGGGCCCACCATACTATTTTTGGAAGTGCAGTCATGCTGTCTGCTGCAGTGTGTCTGCATACTGAGGAAGAACAGACGACAAAAATAACAGCACATCAATAAAACCCTGGAAGGTGATATGCAGTTATGTAGAGGCAACTTTCCTCATTCATCTGAAACAGCAATATGTAGCTTTTTCTTTTTACCCGTGGAATGTCAGATAAGTGGACAGACATCAGCTGAGCAAGTAAACTGGTACAGATGACAAGAATGAGCTAATAATAGCCTGCTTAACAGTTCAAACAAAAAAATAAAATAACAGTTGTAGCTTTTGTCTGGTTTAAAAAAAACTAAAAAACAAAACAAATCTCAGACACTTAGAGGCAGCTGACACTGACATAAACGATTATGCGCGTTAGGAAGTAACTAGGAAGTGACAATTAACATAGATTTTTGCCAGACTACATTTCACTCATTGAAAACGGTGATTCCTACGATGCCCTTTCAAAACCCCCATACAAACATGTATAAAAGCCTGCAGCTAATCACTGACTGACAGTATTTATATCCCGTGGCCCAACCTTAGCATGTAGAGCCCAACCTTAGCATGTAGACTACAGATCGATCTCTGTTTTCCAAAAATAATATAAATTTGTGTCATCTTTTTCCACAGTTGGAAAAAGATGACACACAACTGTGTTATTACGGATTAATATAGAAGTAATTACAAAGTTGCATTTAATTTTCTTTTTGTGTATGAGTGATTCAAATCTCTCTAGTACAGTTTAGACGACCGCTGCCTAATTATAAGTGTCTATACGTGGGCAAGTCTTGTCTTTGTAAAGGACACGTCTGTCATCCAAGGCTATTTTTAAGAAGCTACATTTGGACATTTTTCACAAAGTTTGGTTTGCCAGGGTGCATTTGATCTGTAAGATTAAATATATTATGTGGCATCTCTCTTTCAGTCTCATCCAGTGCTGTGTTTGTGCACAAAGTGTCAAGTGGATGACGAGTGGCCCGCTGCACAGACAAGATCGGCTTTGTGCGGCTCTCTAACATGGAGAGCGTGGTACCACTCCTTGCTGTTGAGGCCATTTACTGTTTCCTGTGCTTCTCTGCCTCTCTGTATCTGTCTCTGTCTTGTGCTCAACAGTGAAGTGATCGGTTCTCTTGTGGCTGTTTGTCTGTGTGTAGGATCGTTCTCCTATCTCAAGTGCTTTATAGTGCCTGTTTGGCAAGAGGCAAACAGCTGCCGTTCTCTGAGAACTCTGAATTCATTCTCAGCAGATCACAGGGGGTTTTTAGCTGTTGCAGTGTATCTGTTCTGGTGCTGCTTGATGTTAGAGATACTGACAAGCTGAGTATTTATAGCACTTTGTGCTTCTTAGTCTATCGGTTTCACCCCAGGTGAACCTGCCGCCTGCCACACGGTCTGTCTCACTTTACTGAAAGAATCGGTTCAGAAAGCTAGCTTTAAATGGATCGCTAAAAAATGCAGTAAATTGCTGCAGCCTGAAGGTCAATTGAAGGATCAGGCTGGTTTGAGCATGTTTGTGTTGGGTGGTTGTGTATCGCAGTGAGCTGCTTTGTGTCGTGTGTGTTTGTGTAAATGTGTGCGTCTGTTAGTGATGTGCTATTAGACACCACCTATTTTTATAAGGTAAGTTGTTATGTGGGGGTTAGTTACAGAGTCCAGGCTGCTCTGTGCTGTGAAGAGGGGAGGGAGACGAGGGACAGGAAATCATAGCAGTGACTTAGGCGTCAGCGGGGAAGGAACAGGAGGGGTACCCAGGATGGTGTGTAAGTGTATGTTGTGTGAATTCCGCTCCCCCACCCCGCTATTAACCCTTTCCATCATACTGCCCCTGCCCTCCAGTAAAGCTTTAGCGTGCTGCTCTGTGGCCTCGTTTGCCTCTCACATCACATTAATGGAATCATTAGCTGATACTGCTATGGATTCCTAGATGACAAAACCATCAATATCACAATTAGGTGCTAAACTAATGATTTTTTTTTTCCGTTGTAGATTAATCTGCTGATTATTTTCTCAGATAATCGTTTGTCCTTCTGGAAATGGGGGAAAAATCACATCATGAAGAAATCAACTTGTAGTTGAAAAACGGTTGCTCTAAAACTCCAAGGAAACATTGTTCTCTGTTACTGAAGACAAACAAAAAGATGAGTTCATCACTGTCAAGAAGGTGGAATGAGCAAATGATTGGTCATTTTTGTTTTAGCAGGAAGATGACTGGCATTACAAACTAGATCTTAAAATAGCTGCATATGTAAATAAAAAGGAAAGCTACACAGTAGCCAGAGAACAATTCTGAAACCTGGTTTTGTATATTTTTCAGTTTCAGCACTGTGTTATGTGATGTGCTGATGTCCTCTGGTCTTAACACAGTGTGCACGAGATGTGAGCCCTATGCACATGGCAGCTTTTAACATGACGTTTCTAGATTTTGTAGCTAATTTCTGTTTTGCTCAGGGATTGGCAATAT